TGTGTGTGTGTGTGTGTGTGTGTGTGTGTGTGTGTGTGTGTGTGTGTGTGTGTGTGTGTGTGTGTGTGTGAATCGCTTATAACTTTTGAACGGTTGAACCGATTTCATCGCGGTTGGTGCCATTCGAAAGGGCTTCGCCAAACTTAGATTCCCTGTTAATTTGAATCGATTTGGACCGATAGATTTTGAGAAATCTCAAAAAAAATCGAAAAAAAATCTTTTTTGAAAGTGGTTTTTTTGGAATAACTTTTAAACGGCTTCATCGATCAACTCCAAAAACTAATCCGCCCTTGAGCTTGAAAAACCACGTCGATCACCGCTAATCCGCTACAAATATTGGAAATATATAAAATATATGATTAATTGATGTGCATTTTTACGTGATAGGTCTCGATGCACGGAATCAATATATCACCTAAGTCCTACTTTTCATTGACTGTGAGTGGTAGTGTAGCCCGAATTCCCTTTCTATTGTCAAATATTAATGTAATTTATATTTATATAGCTCTCGAATATGTATTTATTGGAAATCTATATCCTTTCAGAATTCGAATTTTCATTGAATATGAGTTTTAATGCAGTTCTTTTTCTTTTCTAATACTAATGATCAATGTTTCGTCCTCTTTCTTAAATATTTTACTTATCAATAGTGCCGTGACTTTTTAAAACCTTAACTCTTCTATGACTATGAGTGGCGATACAGATAAGACGATAACAAAATCGCTTAAAATTGTCTTATTTTCACACCGTTCTCACGGATTATTGTTTTAGGAAAATAACTGAAGCAAAAAATATATGTCAAAAATAATTTTATTTATTAATTCGCATAGAAAAATATTTATATTATAAATAGAAAAGTTTACGTTTTACATAGATTTTTTTCTCGTAAGTCATACTTTAACATATGAGGTCAGCCCCTGAAAAAAATAAAAAAAAATTGTTAGATAATTTGACATATCATTAATCTAAGTTATACATTGTAATAGTCAATGTAGCAATAATTTGATACGTTATTTTCTCGAAAGTATTTCACCATCTGTAGGAAATCAACTTAAACCGCTTATCGCGAACCGTAACCCCGTTGATTTAATTGTTTTTGATTTATTTATTTATTTCTTTATTTATAAACCTAACAGCCCTAAAGGGCCAATAGTAAGGTTACAGAAAGTTACATTAACATAAGAATGAGGGGCGCATGTAGCCAAATAACATCGCTGAGGAAAATAGTATTAGTATATATATAAAAAGAAATGAATTATATAAGATACAATAAGAGTTTTTAGTGTTACAATATTATATACAACTTAGTATTAAGAAAACAATAAAATAATCCTAATTAGGCATATAATAATTATATATAATTGTAGCAAATAGATCATAAATACGTGTTTAACAATATATAATTCATAATATAGCTTCAAATAATGTTAGGGCAGTTAATATTCTATATTTTTATTATACAATAATTACAAGGACTTAGTATTAGGTACATAGTTTAAATTAAAATTCATTAGTGGCTGAAGATGCTAGAGTACGGTGGTCAGTTTGTCTAGATCTTACAATAATAGAAGCCAGTGTATTGGCAGTAATAGACAATGAGAAGTCAAGCAAGTCAAGATCTCTACACTGTTGAACTATGTTGTTACATTGATAAATAGTAGTTGTTGTTTTCGGAGCTCATTGCGTTATTGGATGACGATAACCTTGTTTATCGTTATCGCTAACTTACTTACTTACTGATTATTATATTATTATTGACGAAACATGGAACAATCATTATAGTCAGAAAATTTAAAGAATTTATCAATTATTTTATTAATTTATTTATTAAGTTTTTAGAAGATAAATTAATTTTGTCAAAATTTTAGAGAAATTAGATCATTCGATCTTGAAATATTGAAGAAAAATAAAGTGCATTTATTTTGAGTTTGAATGCAGCAAAATAACATCATAATATTAGTCATAAATCGTCTTCTAAATAAATTTGAATTAAAATACTTGACGACGACATTTTATTGAATAAGTATAACATTGATTTTTAATGTCACTGCGGTATGAAATCAAAAATATTTTTTCTTACTACACTGGTCGAAAGTACGGGGCTTCTGTTGCGATTTCTCTGCAGAAAGCCTGACATTTATGCCGTGGTCGAGTCACGCATGCGCTTTACGACGGGGAGCCGAAAAAATGTATTCATGCACTGACAACGCGATACGAGGCGGCAGAAAGTCCGAAAGTCGGTAGTCGCGCTCACTCTATTACTCACGGAGCTTAGATAGATCTATCTAAGCTCCGTGTTCACTGCAGAAAGCCTGACATTTATGCCGTGGTCGAGTCGCGCATGCGCTCTATGACGGGGAGCCGAAAAAATGTATTCATGCACTGACAACGAGACACGAGGCGGCAGAAAGTCCGAAAGTCGGTAGTCGCGCTCACTCTATTACTTATGTTTACAAGCCTAACCTTACTTGTGATTGTTATGAATGTATCTGTCTTGTTATGTGTCAATGATTTGAGGTTGAAACTGAGTTAATTACAGAAAATGAATATTTATTTTAATGAAATGAGACTTGTTAAATATTTAAATTACAAAAAAAAAAAAACGAGGAATATTCTTTATTCTGATCGATATTCTCAAATAAATAAATCCATTGGTGAACAAATAATTATTTGATAAAATATACAAACAGATTTTTTTCTTAATTTTTTTTTCTAGGTATGCATTTTACGATTATTATTTCATTTTTTTGTTTTTATTTTATTCTTAAAATCAGAGTTAATTTATGATATATTTATAACGTTAAATTTATTCAGTTAAATTACGATCTTTTCTTAAAAGAAAGTAGTAATATGATAGATTATATATTAATATCTTTATTGACAGGTGTATTTGATGCCTGCCCCCCCGACCAGCAGCACTCGCTTCGCTCGTGCCGCAAATGTCGGGGGCAGGCATCAATTTTTTTCAACGCAATTTTTAACGTACTTTCGACCGCATAGTAAGAAAACTAGTATACACTACATGGGCAGAAATTTGAGAGCCCTGAACTGCGTGCCATGATGCCCTCGGCTTCGCCTCGGGCATATGGCGCGCAGTGCAGGAATCTCAAACTTTCTGCCCTTGTAGTGTAATATACTATTAAATAAAATTTTAAGGCAATATACTGACGAAATAGCAATAAGAAATTACATTGACTTTGATTGTCAATGAAGCATAAAATTGTCATTTTATATTGCATTGACAGTATTGAGTAACTTTAGAGTAAAATCGGCATTAAAATAACAAGCCAGAATGATTACATTGACTTTGAGTGCAAATGTAGCATAAAATTGTTATTTTCCATGTGGCGATAATGATAATTCAAATTTTCGGCAAATTTGATATCAAAATAACAAGAAAAATTTTTACATTGATTTAAAGTGTCATTACAGTATAAAATTGTGAATTAACTTGTAAAATTACTTTTTTATTGAAATTTTAACTGCATTTTACTACCAAGACATTGAAATAAAAATATTACATCAATTTTGAGTATCGATGCAGTATAAAATGATAATTTTTTCTTGGATTGAAATTTTAACTTAATATTAAGATAAAGATGTAGACAAAAAGTATTGCATTGATTTCGAGCGTCAATGCCGCATAAAAGATAATAAATAACATACTATACTTACATCAATAGATCTTATTTTAATTTTTCATGCCATATTTGGACCAGAATGTGACCTTACAAGGTGTCCGGTTCCCGGTTTGTCTGTCAAAGGCATTGCAGGATGAATACGGTGGGGAGTACAGGTGCAAAGATACTGCCGGTTCGGTCTTGCTCGGGTTCTCCATGCGATGAAGCCCGATCGAGTCATTGATGTAACACACATCATTCGTTTGCAGGACGTTTGACTCGAGTTCGTCTACGGCGACCTTTCCGGGATACTTCGGGTTCTCTCGAGGCCAGGTGTATAATGTCTGAAATTTTTCAGGAAGTAGAGTTAGTCTTAATTGCTATTGTTTCTCTGAAAGGTTTTTGTTACCTCGATCAGCTGACCTTGGAGAATTTTCATTACACAATGTGAGTCAGAGTGGTCGTGAATTGCGGACCCTTGAGCCGGATTCCAACAAAGAACTATTAGATTGAATTTTCCGTTTCCTTCGTCAACTAAATTTCTTGTGTATCTGTTTAAAAAAATAATATAAAAATATATTTAATTTTTTAGATAAAATTATGTCAAACTTTTATAACTTGCAAAATTTTTTATCATTGTATATAATTCAATGTATCAATATATTAAAATATCTAATTATTGTATTTAATTGTATTAATTACATCCATATAATTTTTCATTGTTTTATATAATTTTAACAAAATGGCGTCGACATAAAATATCAATTTTTTTTTTCCCCTTTTTTTGACCTTTTCGAATTTTTTAAAAATACTCCAAATTGAAATTTTTTGAAATCCGTAGCAGACGCGATAGAGAGATATATAAAGCAAATTCCCACTAAATTTCAAAGGAATCGGTGGGGTAGAACTTAAGATATCATGTCAACCACTTTAAAAAAGTAGTTTCGAGAAAATCGCGTTTAAAGTTTGAGAAACAATTTCAGTAAAATGACTCACAATAATATTTAATATTCACTTTGGATTAATCGCGAATCCCAGATCCATAAATTGGGCCTTCTTCTACTTCCTACTCGACGTTTTACGAAGTTCTTTCTGCTAATCGAGCTGTTCTGCCTTCTATTGAAGAAGCAGAAGCAGAAGCAGCTGCGTCACAAAATCCACTGTATCTCCGAAAATAATTCGAATTTTGAAAAATCCACTTAAGGACATATTTTTAAGGGTCTAAAATTTGGAAATATGCAAAAAAAAAAAAATTCGAATTTTTTAAATTTCTAGACCAGAATACCCCCTTAAAAAAACTAGTGACTGTATAACAAAATTATCACTCAGATTTGGCTTTATTTGATACTATTAAGTCAGATCCGGCTTGATAAAATTGTATCAGAACATATCAAAAAATTAGAAAACGGGCATATCAAATTATATCAAGTCATATCAGAATATATCAATAAATTATCTATAGATATATCAAATTATATCAGCTCAGATCAAATTATATCAAACCAGATCAAGCCATATCAAGTCTGATCAAGCTTTATCAGGCCTGATATGGCCAATTTGCATATCAGGTCATATCAGGTTATATCAGAACCTACCAAAAATTATACATGGACATATCAGATCATATCAGGCCTGATATAATTATATCAAAAATTTTGATATGGCCATATCAGGACATATCAAGTCTGATCAGAATATTTTTTCACGGGTATATATTTCAATGTTTATATAAAAATATATTAATTCCGATCTTATAGAATGTTTCATCCATCCTTTAATATAAATTATTTAATTTTTTATAATTGAACATAATTTTATGTGGATTTATATAATCATATCAAAATATGTTATTTTAATGACTGTAGAAAATTATATAAAATATTGCCCTACTTTAAAAATTCAATTCTGTATAATTTTATATTATTCTATATAATTTCATATAACATATTATTATATATTGTTGCACATACTTTCATGTTCTATATAATTTTACATTGTTTATTATAATTATATGTGAAAAAATGATATTTGAGTATTAAAAAGATATAATATAAATTGTGTGTCCTCAAATATTTTTACATTGTTGCATATAATTATATGTAATAAAATAGTAACATTGTTTGATATAATTATAAGTGATTATATTTGTGTATACTTATATAAGTTCCAATTCTGATAATAATTAATTTTTTTTAAAAGAAATATTATCTTCTTTTTACTGTATACTGATAGAAGAATTTCTTAACATTTAACAAGATTTCTTTGTATTTAAGAAATCATTTCTTAAACATCATTTTTTTAATACTAAGAAATGATGTTTAAGAAATGATTTTTTAAATACAAAGAAATCTTCTTAAATGTTAAGAAATTTTTCTATCAGTGTAAAACTGAATAAGTCTTATGAACTCTTAACAACCTTTTGAGAAAGTCCCAAATTGCAGGGGAAATTGAACTTTTTTAAGAGTTTTTTCAGATAATTATTTCCACAAGGATTTCCTACGAGAAGTTTTAATAACTCTGAATTTCGAAATTCAGAAGAGATCTCTTCTGGCAGAGTTCCGAATGAATAGTTTTTCTGACTTAATAAAACTTTTTCGGACTTTTTAAAAAACTAAAAAACTTTATAAATTATTATTCGTACTTATTAAAATTTTTTCACAGTTATTTCAGAGAAATTTTTCCACAAATGTAAAACTATAATGGATTTTAATTTTAAATAACTTTATATTGTTCCATATAATTTTTTATACAGTATATAATTTTATATTGTTGCATATTACTATGTGTAATATATAATTTGATTTTGTTCCATACAATTTTATATAATATTTATAATTTTAAATAATTTTATGTATAACATATAATTTTACATTGCTCAATGTCATCATATAAAAACTGTACTAAGTTCATAACAAATTGCTTTGTGACTAAAGTAAAAGACCCAGTTATTGACACTTGTTATTTTATTTTTGTTAAAAACAAAACAAATCAACTCTAATAAATTAATAAATATAATTTTTGAAATATAAATTTTAAGATAATTGATTTTTTGAGAATATTTAATTTTTTTAATTAGAATAAAATTGCAAGTGTCAAACAACTAGGCCAGTATCAATAACTGGGTCTTTTCCCTTACTATAGAAACTTAGACAGTTAAATCTATTTTCATAAACAATGTTTCATAAAAAGTTATATACAACTATAATTTATAACGATCGGAAACATTTATTACGACAAAAATACTTTAAAAATAAATTATTTAATTTGGATTATATCAGACTACAAAAACCCATCTATTTAATTTTCCATGAATAATTAATAATAATAACTTGAGAAATCTATCGACCACATTAATCATCTGTCTAACCAATCGAACAGACAAAATAAATATATGTGAATAACATGTTTATGTTTAAATAATATAAAATAAAAAATATAATATTTCGTAATACTTGTCGAGTGTAAAATTCTCGATTGTTTCATTAAAAATTACCATATATAAATAAATAAATAAATAAAAAACATATGAAGCTATATCGGTATTCCCGATAGATATTTGTTAACCTTTATATTAATCACTCCCGACAGCAATTAAATATAAATAATTATTTATCGTCATAAATTAATTCTTAATTAATTAATTTTTTAGTATCAATTTTAACGATTTTTTACTAAAATAATAATTTGTTTACAAAAAATGTTTTTACGCTGCATTGACACTAAAAATCAATGCAATATTTTTGCACTTAAAATTGATGCATTGTACTGACACTTAAAAATCAATGCAGTGTATTGTCATTTAAAAATCAATTGACACTAAAAATCAATGCAATGTTTTTGCACTTAAAATTCATACATTGTACTGACATTTAAAAATCAATATAATTTATTGACACTAAAAATCAATGCAAATTTTTTGCACTTAAAAATCAATGCAGTGAATTGACACTAAAAATCAATGCTATGTATTGGCACTCAAACGTATTGGCTACGTATGTAATGACAATATAACGAATTGACACTCAAAAGACAATACAATGTACTGACATCCAAAAATCAATACAACATATTGACATCCAAATTTTACTGCTAACGTACTGACTCTCAAAATCAATACAATGTATTGATATTTAAAATAAGTTCATTGTTTCAATATTAAAAACTAATTGTGACGCACTTTTGATGCACTTCATTGAAATTAAAAATCAATGTACGACATTGACACTTCAAATCAATACATTTAAATTAAATGCATTATAAGTCATTTTAAAAATTTTTTTTCTTTTGATAAACAAAAATTGTACTCAAAAGCAAAATCTTGATGTAAAATTAAAAAACAACTTACCGATCACGATCAAATTTAGCGTATTTCTTCCAATCCTCAGGGTTGCTATCGTACGAAGCCATCAATGCCTGAATTCGATCGACATTAACATTGTTTGTTTTAAATTCCTCGTACAATTCTTTAATAAGTTCCTCGAGAGTAATCGTCAGAGTTTCGTCAACATTCACGATAACTTGATCCTCTTCGATTCCATCATCGATATTGTTCAATTTAGCGCGTTTTATTAGTTTACACGTGTTGTTGCTACAAGTTGACATTTTATCACTTCCGTTAGTTTACAGATATACTAAGCAATCTTAGAGAAAATCTTGGTCTGAGATCGTTAGACTGAGAAGCAATGTTGCGAGCGTTATACACGTTCGAGAACAGAATGTGCTTTGAGAGTAAGAGTACTAAAATTGTGAACGCGGTGTGAGTATGTGTGGTATACTATAGGACTATACCTTATTCTTAACAAACAGCACAAAACAAGTCAAGTGTAATGTATAAGTAACTGTAATATAGTTATCCCTACTCCGCTGTTAATGTTGTTGTACATCTATCGAATATATGTAATGTGTTTACGTCGTTCGTTTCCATTGTTGATAATTTTATACAGTTTATCAATTATTTAATGGATTCAGTTATCAATTGTTGCAACATGTCCTTGGAATACGAATTTATCGATTTGAGTTAATTATTAAAATTTTACATGTCAAAATTTCAGAGAAATTGCGTCGCTAGATCCTCAGATATTGCAATAAAAAGTGCATTGATTTTTATTGTCAATGCAGTATAGAATTGTGTAATGACAAGTCAAATTAAATTTTTGGATGCTGTATTATTGTTACATATAAATAATCTCATCAAAAGGGAGAAAATTTTTTACATTGATTTTGAGTGTCAATGTAGTATATGAATATCACTTTTTGTTTGGCGAAAATTCTGAAGAAATTTTGGAAACCGTATCATTGTTAGTTATAATTAATACTATAAAAATATGGGGAAATGTATTACATTGATTTTGAGCGTCAATGTAGTAGAGAAATGTTACTTTTTGGGGTAGACACGATTTGATTCGGAATTTTGGAAGCTATACTATTGTTAGATACGATTGATATCATCAAAATAGCAAATAAAAAATTTGCATTGATTTTAATTGTCAATGCAGTATAGAATTGTGTAATTACAAGTCAAATTAAATTCTTGTATGCTGTAATATTGTAGATATAAATAATATCATCAAAATAAAAAAAAAATTACATTTATTTTGAGTGCCAATGTAGTATACGAATATCACTTTTTGTTTGACGACAATTCAAAAGAAATTTTAGAAAGCGTATTATTGTTAATTATAAATTATAATTAATACTGTAAAAATATGGGAAAAAGCATTGCATTGATTTTGAGCGTCATGTTAGTTTTTTGGGCAAAGACTTAATTCGAAATTTTAGAAGCTATACTATTGTTAGATACGATTGATGTCATAAAAATAGCAAATAAAAAATTTGCATTAACTCATCATTTTTTGTATCAATACACTTCTAATTAACGTTTCAACACGATATTTTTATTACACACTGAGAAAAAACAAACTTTTATTAAGAAAATTTTCTTGATACAAGAATTTATGTTCTTGAAAATTTTCAAGAATATATATTCTTAGCTCAAGAAATTGTTAAATTGATTGAAATAATTTTTACTTAATTTAAATAAAGCTATTCTTTTGTTTATCTATTATCCAAAGATAAATATTAATGTTCTTCTCTTCAGAAATTAATAATTAATAATAATAGAATATTTGATCGTCAGCGAGTTTCTTGAACCAAGAAATTGTTAATTGAGTAAAAGTATTTTTTTTCTCAGTGCATATTACCATAATACCATTAATATATTGGCAAAAAACGTTACATTGATTTTAAGGTAGTTGTCGTGGTTAAGGCAAACCGTCAGAAAATTCTTAATTTTTGTATACTTATCAAGGACATAATAATACAATTACCCTTAAAATTTGAAGTCGATTGACCACCTATAACCCGAGATGAGTTCAATTGAAAATTGAATATTTAAAATTGGTTGCATACGCTCTTTGCAGGTCTGTATCAGTTTTTTAGTTATAAAAAAAAACTAACATTCAGAAACTTTCAAAAAACTGACAGTCTTTTAATGTATTTGTTGTGAGTTTAAAAAAATAATAAAAAAAAATTTTTGACCGTCTAATTATTTATAAATAACAGATTTAAGTTCAACAATTTATGAAAAAGTATATATATACGGAGTCGGACAGAAATACTGTATGGGTTATGTCTCCACGGGTACAGTCTTGCGTAAAAATTATGGATTACTCAGCTACAAGCTCATATATTTTTGCGGCGCGTATAATCTCTAATTTTTTGACAATATTGTACCATGACAACTACCTTCAGCGTCAATGCAGCACAAAATTGTCATTTTCTAATAAAATATACTTTTAGGTGAAATTTGTATCGCAAAAACATTATTAGATATAATTGATACCATCAAATTATTACCAAAGAAGACTGGATTAATTTCGATCATCAATTTAGTCTAAGAAATTCATTTCTATATAATATTCAAAAATTGAAAATGATAGTCAAGTATTTTTGATTTAGTGATCATACCATAAAAAATTCTGATTATTATTTCCATCATTATTATTATTATTAACAACAAAAAAATTTGCACTAACAATATTACTTCAGACTTTTTCGTAATCTTTGGAAAATTTCTTAAAAAATGACTACCCACATGCCTATAATTTTTCTTATGTAATCATATGTGACCTTATGTGACATGTATTGACCACACACATTCGATATTTGGTCATATATAACATTACAACATGTATGTTAAACACAAATGTCACGTATGATCAAAAATGAGCAATCACAGGCGTGTGGATTGTCATTTTGAAGCTCTCGTTACCCTCTTTGTTATTTTCTCATTATTTCCAAGCTATATCCAATATTGACAAAATTAATCTCAATTTTTTCCTTCGTAAGTCATAAGAAAACTTAAAAATTATTATTTTTTTTCAATAGAAGTCAGCCTGTCAGGCGGAAAATTAATAGCCATTATAAGGAAACTAGAAAGTACTGAGGATTTTTCTCGTACGGATAAATGTGTTTAGAAATTAACCGGTATTTGAAAGTTGAGATAATAACACGAAGGCCGATACAATTTAGTTATCTGCATAATTTATTTTTTAATCTTTATCTATGATGTAAGCGGGGTTTTTTTTCGTGATATTGTTCTCAAATCGTGCTACATTTTTATTAAAATAAAATAAATAATGTTAATAAAAGAAAAAAAAATCTTAATGTTAAATTTCAATCGTATAGATATAAAAATAAAAATAATAAATATATACAGCTCCCTGCGTCGGATGTTTTCCTGATGGTTCCGAAGACGAATATAATAATTTTATTAAGTATTATACACCGAATTTTTCAAGTCTTTTTATAACAACAAAAAAGTCTCCATTGTAGTTTTATTTTTATTTATTTAAATAGTGAAATCTAAAACTTAGAATGTTGAATAGATCAAAAGGGTTGACGATATTTTATAGATTAGTTCAGTAAAAATGACACCGACGTCTTGAATTCTATCAGGAGTCCATGCTGAGTAAGAAGGCGTCTGATTTCTCGGATTTTCTGCCAAAAATTACAACATTGACGGTAGTTAGAGTTAATTTCTTTCTTTTTTAGTGAAAAATTTTAAGACCGATAAATGGAAAGAAATAGTTCCTATCATATCTACCGAAAACTACAATATTAGCTCCCGATTCCTTTTTTATCATTAGAAAACTGTTTTGCTAATAAATTTCGGACAATCTTTAGATTTCAAAAATTTTTTTGAACATACCTAATTTATATTATTGTAACGCTATTAAAATATTGACAAAATGATAATACATTGATTCAAAAAATTAATGCAGCATGAAATCGTCACGTTCTATATAAATAGCATTTTCATAAAAATTTTGAGGTAATATTACTATCAAAAAAGCGAGAAAAAAATTACTACATTGAATTTTAATGTTAATGCAGCAGATCAAAATTTCTGATCAAAACTTTAAAGGAAAAACATCATAAAATTGACTGATTTTGAGTGTCAATGCAGCATAAAATTATCATTTCTTGCTTCACATTTTTTGTTAAAAATTTAGGATATTATAACCATAGCAACATAACAAAAAACTGTGACATTGATTTTAAGTGTCAATGCAGTAAAAACATTCCATTAAAATCATATAAAAAAAAAAAGTTTGGAAAATCCAAAAGTGCACGACTCATAATGCTCATTTAATTATAAAATATAAAAAAAACCTCTGGTGGAATAAATGTACATAATACCTATAGATATAGATATATCACCATCCATATTATTTACATGGATATATATAGGTATACAGTCTTGTATTGAAAAAAGTTTGGAAAATCCAAAAGTGCACGACTCATAATGCTCAATTTAATTATAATAATAATTAAAAAAAAAAAAAAAAAAACAGTTCAAAATTAGTTGTCGAAAAAACAGCTGTACTAGGAAGGTACTGCACAAGCGCCTCTGGTGGAATAAATGTACATAATACCTATAGATATAGATATATCACCATCCATATTATTTTACATGGATATATATAGGTATACAGTCTTGTAGTTTTCGTTTTTTATTAATTGTAATTAAACGACACTGAATTAATTATCCGTTCGCATTCGGTGACCTACAATTGTCGATTAGAATTAAAAAAAAAAAAAATTTAACTCAAATAATTGATTTTTTCACAAGTTACAGTATTTCCGGAGTTTCATTCATGACGGACAGGAAAATTTTTTGACCTATTTTGATATTTTTTTCCGTTTCTATTGCACTAAATTAATTTTTAGCAAGTATGGAATTAATCTCCATTAAATTACCTCGACAATAGTATGCAAAATATCTTTATTCCGTGAACTAACAAGGCTATAATACTAAAAATAGTTGCCAAAATGGGGCGAAAAAAATTTTTCGATCGTAAAAGCACTCTCTGATGCTTCGCATCATGTGCAATAAAAATCGATAAGATCACTTGCTATTACTAGGTTTTCAAAAATAGTTACTTTATATTTCCCAAACTATTATTGTTATTATTATTATTATTATTATTATCTATACTGAAAACAATATATCACGGTCTTTTTGAAAGTGTTATAAACTATGGAATCATTGCTTGAGGTGGTGTGCATATGATAATACAATGAAACCTATTGTAAATTTA